TGATGATGATGATGATGATGATATTGAACTTGTTACATATTTCATTTCCGGTTAAGCCGCAGAGAATAATAATTCAATTCAGTTCTGTTTATTTACCGGAAACCAATTAGTAATAGTATTAATAATAATTAACTTCGACTATAAACTTCGGCTAGACAAGTGCATTTTTTTTGCATGTTAATAACACAGCGACAGCCGACCATACTGGCCGTGCGGTCTGGGTATGAACTGTCTTCGCTCGTTCGAAAACTGGGTTCGTGGGTTCGAATCCCACTCAAGGCATGGGTATCTGTATTGTGTGCATTATTTTATGTATAATTAGCGGCCTTGCGACGGGCGGATTCCTTGTTCAAATAGTCCTGCCGACTGTGTGTAGGATCAAGAAAATTAAAAAGCAGCTAAGGCCCAACAAAGGGCTGTAGAGCCACAATAATAATAATAATAATAATAATAAAAAAGCAGAAACACGCCGGTCACGGAAGCTGAGCGGTCTAAGGCATGTACTGTCTTCGCTCGCTTGGAAACCGGGATCGTGGGTTCGAATCCAACTCAGGGCATGGATGTTTAGTTTGTGTGTGCGCGTTTTTCTGTGTTTATATACAGGTAGAGGCCTTGCGACGAGCTGATCACCAGCCCAAGGAGTCCTACCGAATGTGTAAGATCTAGTAAAGCCGAAGTGAACGGAGAAATTCATGGAGGTAGGCCTAGGCCCACTGGGGCTGTAGTGCCAAGGAAAAAAAAAAGCAGAAACACAAAATTATCCAAATTAATTAGGCAGACACTAACACGAAAAAAAGACGGAGACTGTTAAAGAGATTATCAGAAATCTGAGGCCGGAACGGGTCAAACAACAACAGAGGGCCCCACTCATTCCATGATGATGATGATGAGGAGGAGGAGGAGGAGGAGGAGGAGGAAGAGGAGGATGATGATGATGATGATGATACTGACGACGAAGACGGCAGTCATGTTATTAATAGGAAAAATTATTATAGAAATTCAAATCAAATATTATGTTTTTGGACATTACCCATTGCCACAATTTTTTAGATCTTATTTTAAAAAATTCATATCATTTCCTTATCTCGTTTCTGCCTTCCGCGAGGTTCCCTATCTTAGACTCCTCAAATTGTGTAATCAAGGGTTCGAACCCAGTTCGGAGGATGGATCCTCTAACCATGAAGATCTTATCCCAAATACATAACGATATTCAATAAACAGAAAATCTACATCGGTAATTAAGACACCAAACAAGAAAAAACGAACTCCGTGGCCTGTAGTCCGCAAATGAACTATACCGACCGAGCTACCGCCGCTTGTCGGCGAAGTTAGTGCAATTTTTTTTTAAAGAAAGTGTCGCGTGGTCAGCGCAGCGGATCCCCACCGATGTTAATCTGGGTTTTCTAGACCGGAGCCGCTATTTCCTTGAAATATTTCCTCAATTATCCTCACGAGGCTGAGTGGACCCCGTTCCAGACCCACTACTCCTCAGAAAATCTTGTAGCGCGAGGAATCGAACACGGGACTTCTGGACCTGTAGCCAGGAACTTTGAGTATAGAGACGGTCGATAATTAGGATTAGACTACACGGAAATACTTGTACATGTTAGTCACTACAGGATAGGGAGCTGCAAGCTGGACATTTCTGTTTCGATTCTGTAAGCTACAGAAAACGCAAAAATATAACACACAAAAAGTTTCAAGGCAGAACAGAGGGCTATGGTTACTCACTTGTGTCAGAAATTCCGGTTGAAACCGTTAGCGTGATGTCACTGAATTCCACATCAATTTGTTTTATTTTCAGCAGCGACAGAAGGACTCTATGGGATATTTCTGTTGTCTCTTCAAAGGCGTGAGACTTCTTATCCAGACAGGGTTCCATTTCTTGTCCAGAAAAGTTTGTATCCGTTTTCTCTCTGCAAATAAAATTTAATAAAAAAATATATACTTGTAACTTATGAAGTTTTGATGGCGGTGACTATGAAAAACGCCGTCTTCTGGGTTTTGGCGCCATGTATGTATTGTGTAAAGCGACGTTTTGGAGGAACTATCGCCTCCATCTTCAGGGTATAAAAATCCGCGAGTGAGGACACAGAGTGAGCAGGTGACTGAAGCCACATTCTTAAGCTGGTTTCTCGCTCGCGGGATTTTTGTACCCTGAAGATGGAGGCGACGCACTCTTCCGAAACGTTGGTTTACAGAATACTTACACGACGCCACATCCAAGAAGATGGCATTTCCAAATATCTACTTATTATCTTCTTAACATAAGTTCGCGGAATGGGGGTGATATAGCATCAATGTACTTCACCCGGCCTTTCTCTTTAATAAGCTGCTCTGAAATAATGAAATTCTTTCTTATGACACTTAAATTTAATAAGATGTAGATATATGCATGGCCGGTCACGGTAGCCGAGCGGTCTAAGGCATGCACTGTCTTCACTCGCTCGGAAGCCGGGATCGTGGGTTCGAATCCCACTCAGGGCATGGATGTTTGTGTGCGTTTTTCTGTGTTTGTCTACAGGTAGAGGCCTTGCGACGAGCTGATCACTCGCCCAAGGAGTCCTACCGAATGTGTAAGATCTAGTAAACCGAAGTGAAACGGAGAGTTTCATGGAGGTAGGCCTAGGCCCAAATTGGGGCTGTAGCGCCACAGAAAAAAAAAGATACATGCATGGTATCCCTTGCCAGGCAGCGCATTATCACATTCGAGCCTTCGTCTCTGATCTAGGTTTTGGCTCATTACAGAGAAAGGGAGTATTTATGGTTCTGGACATATTTCATAAGCAATTCAAACGAAAACAAGTCTTGATTAATATGGTCGTCTGGGATGTGATACATTGTAGTCTGGTTGAGGTTTAGTGGCGTTTGGGAGCAAAGACCTACCTCCACATGGCGTTGAACCCAGAGGAGGAACTCTTAATAGCCAAATCATAAAATAGATAAATAAATATTTGGTTCCTTCCTTGAAACAAACGCTAAATTACAGATTGTGGACTTCTGAATTATGACACAGTGCGGTTAAGTGGTTACAGATGTTTCGGAAGGAAATATTGTCACCATGTTCATGGTATACCGAATAAATTGGGCCAATAACGTTTTAATGCAGCGTCTACACGAGCGCACAAAATGCGTCCGTTGTCACGAACGTACTTTATGACGGACGTTGCTGAGGACACCACACAGCTGCAGAATGCGGTGCGTAGTTCTTTGTCTGCAATGGAGCCAGAAGAAAGCGTAGCATTCGCCTCTTTGGTTTATTTCTACAACGGACGTCACGGCGTTCATTACAACGGACACATTTTATGCGCTCGTGTAGACGCTGCCTAATGTCTACTTGATACCAAATTTAATCAAAATGCGTCAAGTGGTTTCCAAGATAAAGGACAAACAGATAGGATTTTCCGATCACGCTTTAATTTTATCTCATTTGCGCATAAAATAGTTGACACAACATATCTGCGTATGCTAGTAGTATACATATATCAAAACTGACATGTCTTGTTGCGATAGTTAGTTGGTTATCGCATTCGAATGGAAAGTTTAATATAAATTTCGCGTGGCAGACATGTTCTTATTTTACATTATACAAAGAAAGACATTAACACAAGTACCACCCTCCTTGAACATCTGTCGAGTGACGAAATTTCACGATCATACATTTAATGACGTTAATAACTTCCAACATAAGATATACACTTTGCTGATCACATTGGCCGCGTGGTCTAAGGCTTGAAATGTCTTCGCCCGCTCGAACACTAGGATCGTGGGTTCAAATCCATTCGAGGCATGGACGTCTGTCTGCTTTTTCTCTATGTTTCTGTTGTGTTGTATAGGTGGCGGCCTTGCCACAGGCTGATCTCCCGTCCGTGGAGTCCTACCGACTGTGTAAAAGACGAAGAAACTGAAGTGAAACGAAGTGTTTCACAGATATCCTATCGTGACGCGCGGCCTAAAAGCCGGAGTATCGGAGTCGGAGTCAGGAGTCAATTGCTACGCAACGGTTCAGTTACTATGGTTCACTGTTTCACTGTTGAAAGCTGATAACCACAATAACGAATCATAGGTTACACAGTAACGACTTATAAGACAGACTGTTACCACGGATATAAAAAAAACAGAAATCTTCAAGAAAGTGATTGCTATCCGAGGCACCTAGCAGGGATAAAAGGAGGCCAGTTGGGAAGCCGTCAGTCAGAAGTGAAGTCAGAACAAGGAACATAAGACAGAAGGAGTTGAGTGTGTGAACTGTCATAACCGAGCGTAACTGTAATAGTGACGTCAAATAAATGGTCAAATAAATGTTGGTATTATTGATGACTGAGCATTAAAAAGAAAGAGCAGTGAGCGTTCTCAAGTGGCATGATGTTCTTAGCAAGCATCGTGAAAATCTGATCATTGGTTGAACACTTAAGAAGAAGAACACATGCAAGGACGTATTCTCATAAGACTAAACTTTTTGTATAAAATGGCAAAGTAAGCTAAGAATTTAATTAGTCAACCTGAAGATTCTCACTATTAATACAGAGTTCATATAATTTTTTTTTCAAACAAACGGGACACTTCTCTTTTCCCCTAAAAACCAGGACATTTTGTAAGAAACGGGACACGATAAAATATTAATAGAAAGAAAATATCAGTAATACATTATATATTAAACACTGAGAAATTTAATCATAAAAATGAGGTCAAAATGGTAATTTAGAAACATGGAATTTAATAAATTCACACAAAAATAAAATGTAGGTCTTACTCTGCGAAGTCTTTCCAGAATATTTATGAGATTTGTGAATGTGTTCTAGAAACACTTTTTCTTTCGATATTTTGGTGAAAGAACTCTGAATAAGAGACATCTTTAAAGATGATTTTCAAAACGTTTCTTCGTTTTCACGTGATTGACGACGTCCGACTGACCACCATGTGCTGTGCAAAATTTCGCGTTGCATAGAGTGAATTCAACATTGTCATTCAGACTTTTAATAAACGGATATTCGCTCTTAATACTGTCATTAACTATGCATTGCCATCTGACATCGCTACATGGATGAAGACCGATAAATTCTCACAGGCTCTCACAACACAACGTAACGGCCAACAGAAAACACAGATAATGATACAGACGGAACTTCCGTTATGGAAGTAAATCAAAATACTACCAACATAAACGCAGAAAGAACATATTGCCAACAGAAAACTAATAATTGTGGAATTGATTTTGTGGATTAGCCACCAGTATTTTTAACATCGTAATAGAAATGCCAATTGCAGAGAATCGGTCAAGGTAGCCGAGCGGTCTAAGGCATGTACTGTCTTCGCTCGCTTGGAAACCGGGATCGTGGGTTCGAATCCGACTCAGGGCATGGATGTTTAGTTTGTATGTGTGCGTTTGTCTGTGTTTGTGTACAGGTAGAGGCCTTGCGACGAGCTGATCACCCGCCCAAGGAGTCCTACTGAATCTGTATGATCTAGAAAAACCGAAGTAAAAGGAGTTCATGGAAGTAGGCCTAGGCCCGCTGGGGCTGTAGTGCCTATGGAAAAAAAAATTGCAGAGAATAGCGTCAATTACCGAGCAGTTATCGATGGAAATAAATGTTACAAAAGAACACATAAAAAGCGGGACATTATATGATAAAACGTGACTGTCCAGGGAAAGACAGGGCCCCAGTATAATAGCAAAGTTTGCCATTGTAAAGAATTCGGAATCAGTTCCATTAACTTCGATTCTCAAACCTACTTCTGTAAATCCAGCCTAACAGTTTCCATTCCATTTTCTTCTCGGTTTTCGTTCTCTTGATGAATTTAGTTAGTTCAACTCAGGCAATAACGTCGAATGGCTCTATAGTAACAAAAGTGGATTGGAATGGAAGTCAAGGGAAGAGCTCCTGTCCTATGTAAAGGAATTCTCCTGGCATGCACTAGGAAGTACTAAGTAATAGCATAAAGAATTCAGAACAAGCTATGCTCCCCAACAAATTCACATACCTCTCGAATACATGTCAAATTGACCAAATATCGATTTTACGAGTGAACATTTGCCAAGAGGTTCCCAGCTGTAGCAGCACACTCAGATCAGGGTAACCCCCTGAATATGCGTCTCAAAACGAAAGTAGGCGACCGCCATGAATAACAAAATTCTTCGTTATGTAAACTCCCAGAACCACGTATGAACAGAAAATACGTGCACTGTGTCTTGATAGCATGGAGTCCTGACGCTGTCCTTTGGAACCCTGTTGCACTAATATTGTTGCCTTTGGTACACACATGTACCCACCGTCTGAAATGAAACATTCAGTTTCGTCTGTCGTATATGTTAATAATTATTAATTGTATTCAATATAAATGTAAGGTAGAGGGGGACAAGAGCGTGAATGGGGAACGTGAGTTGATCAGGCGCTACTCTGAAGATGTTACACCTGTGGCCATGACAGCGTGCAAGTGTATTGGCAGTCACCGTACTCACCTATATGGGTGTGTGAATTCAAGATGGTGAGTGTGGTTAAACCAGCTGTGAGTTCAGCTTTATACTTGCTGGGCTAACTGTCGCTAATTTGTTGCGATTCGACTTTTTCAAAATTCCCATATTAGCACGTTAGTCCATTCTAATCAAATGAGAACAAACTATTTCGTTGCATTTAACTTTCAGCCTGTATTTCGATGTATAACTCACGTGCATCTTGAAGTGCTGCTACTGGGGAAGTGTGTTAGCATGATACTCAGTTACCCAAAGCAGGTCATGCATTTATTATTATTATTATTATTATTATTGTTATTAGTGGGGTGAGACTGTCTCCACTTGCTACTGCGGCCACTACTGGCCTACTGTACCAGCCCCATATGATTCATGGTGGTGATTGTGGAACAATTAGTGGAATGAAGATCAGCAAGAGAAACCGAAGAACTCGGAAAAAATCTGCCC